ATTTTGGTTTAATCTTCTTTCTTTAACCAATTTGTTACTTTTTTTAAGAATGAAGGACCAAAATGCAAGTTTTGGGAATGGTTGGAGCCTAAAAACCCTGAGAATGAAGTTAGTTCTGGGAAGGACCAAAAAGAACTGTACAATTTAACCCTCAAAATTTCTACATTGGAAAACCAGATCAGGTTATGTAAGATGAAGACGGAACAAGAAAATATGCTTGTTAGACAATAGTTTGAAAAATCAAATGGAAGCTATTTACTCATAAAGTTATGATGATTGTGTTCTTTATGTTGTTTGTGTTTAAGAAGTAGTTAGTGAAGCTGTATTCAAAGACAATGTTGTATTTTGTTTGATGTATTAAGACTAAATCTTTTTGACTAATGACGGTTTGATGTTTTGAGTGGTTTCAAAGGAATATTAATGTGTTTAACAGGTTAGTGAATTGTACATGATGAAGGGGTAAAATGGTCCAAATTAACCACAAGAATAACATCAAACATTTCTTAATGAATTAAGACTAAATCTTTTTTTTTTTATTTTTTATTAATGATAGTTTGATGTTTTGAGTGGTTTCAAAGAAATATTAGTGTGTTTAACAGGTTATTGAATTGGACATTATGCAAGGGTAAAATGGTTTAGATTAAGCATAACAACAATCAATTGTTAATGTCTTAATGTGATCCAAGGGTAAAATGGTCCAAATTAACCACAGTAACAACATCAAACATTTCTAAATCTTTTTTATTTACCACAACAACAACATCAAACATTTCAAGGGCTAAATGGTCCAGATTAAGTCAAACACCAAATCATATAATATAGATAAAAGACAAACTTGTAAGATTCCATTAGCATGTGCACCATTACAAAAGTTGTCCCCATATTTGTCCTAATATGTCAAAAGATGTGCCATGACTAAAAGTTTTCCCAATTACATAATTAAAAGACTAAAATTTTGTCTTCCTAAAAATATTAAAACATAAATTCATTCCAACACCAGTGGGTGGTGATCAGTGCTTCCTTATTTCTTCAAAACCTTTCTACTCAACCCAATTGTGGCAATTCTTTCTAAGTATTTTCGTGTCTTCTTCCCAATTGCAACAGGTTGAGCAGGGACATCTTTAACAGGAGCATCTACTTGAACATCAACATGTGGAGCAAGATCATCTACTTGAACATCATCAACAGGTTGTGCAGGATCATGCACTTGAATTGGAACTACTTGAATTGGTTCCACTTGAACTGGTTCCAAAGTACCTGCTATACAAAGGTGTAGTTAATGAGTTGGATGTTGCAGTATATGTCACACCCCTGGACCAGGACGGCGGTGTAACGCCCCATTCTTGAAATATCTATTTATGGGTTCCCGAGATCAAGAGTAAGGGCGTTTCGGTCCTTAATGTGGATAAAGAGTTGACGAGAATGGACTTTTGATGGAGGAAATGTTGTAAATTAAAGATATTAGCAGCAATGGTCCCTAAGGGGGAAGTTTAGCAAAGGGGTCCTATGTATGCCAAGCATGCATGTATGAGTTTGGCTGGGTACGCCCAGCATAATGAAGGAAAGGAACGTTGGGGTCTCTTGACGTACGCCCATCGTACATCTATCTTCCAAAAACCCTAAATTTAAGGCCAACCACTATATAAGGAACATAATGGCTCTCACCCTAGCCTCCATAAACACTCTCTCATCCTCAGAAGCCATAGATAGTCGTTCCACCTCCATTATTGGGTGTGTTTGACCTTGGAAAGCTTGTTTTAGAAAAGGAGGGCCAAGAAGAAGAAAGAGGAAATTATCAAAGAAGGAGTGGGGTGGCTGGAGCTCGTAGATCTGGAAAGGGATCATCTTCTATAGCCCTTTTAAGGTAAAAAGTCTCTAGCTTGACAATCATATTGTGTAGATCTATGTATTGTGAAGTTTTGACACCATTCTTGTCCCAAAAACCTCATCTTGATGCATGTTTCGAGTTGGCTAAGATTAGATGTCCTTTTAGACCTTAGGAGAGGTCTTAAGTAAGAAAAATGAGGTCCCAAGGGATTTGGTTGTCTCATATGTGATATAGATAGGTCTTAATGGACTAAGACCTTGGATTAAGAGCTTTATGGACGTCCTAAGTATTAAAGTTTGAGACTTTATGGATCCTAGGCACATTTGGTCTATGGATATGAAGTATGGGCTTAAGAGCTTAAGCCATTAAGAACTTATTTGGAGTTGTAGTTCAGCAAGGTTACGCCCCGCGTAAATGGGGTACGCCCAGCGTAATGGGTTTGTGTCCCGATTGCAATCCACGAGCATGGATGTACGCCCAGCGTACCAAGAGGGGTACGCCCCGCGTACTCCCTCTGTTGGGTTCTCGATTTTGGGCCTTATTTGATTGGGATGTCTATGGAATAATAAATCTTGGGCCTTGACTGAATAGTATGGATGGAGTATTTTGGGCCCAATACTTATTATGGACCTTGGATCTAGGCCTGTTTGTAGAGGTGGGCCCAATTTAGTAAATTGGGCCAATATTGGGCTTTGTATGAGAATTTGACTTTGGGCCTTGGCCCAATAAGAGGATGATGGACTTGAAAAGTGTTGTGGGCCTTAGTCATGGACTAGATTGAGTTAAGGGTAATTGGTCAATTTACCCTTGGAAGGATAATATGATTGATCTAATGGTTACTTCTGCTATGTTGGCTACTTCGGGATTTTCGGTGAGTCGGTGATTCAGGAGTCTGCTTTTCAGTTAAGAGTTTCGGCAGTTGCAAGGTGAGTTATCTTCACTATATCGAAAGGGTCTAAGGCACCAAGGCCGACCCTTTATCGGATTGTAATCCGGGTATTGTTGTTATGTTATTGCTTTGCTATGTTTGCATCTTGGTAGTTAGGATGGTATATGTTAGTGACCGGTTAAGTCGGTATCCTGTTTAGCGTATGTTATGTATATGATCTGCTAGATCGGTTGATTGATGATTAATTACTATGTGGTTATATGTTTATGTGCACATGGTTGGTTGACTGGGGTTGGGTTGAGGCAGGTCCTGCTTTGTGCTGTAGGCCAACATACCCAAGGCGGACCGGATATCCCGAAGGCCCAGCGAGCAGTCCGGATAGGCTGTAGGCCCCACGAGGGCGGACCAGACATGTCGAGGCTCGGAGAGTCGACCAGGCCGACTGAAGGCCGATACGGGTGGACCAGTCATACTGTAGACTCAGAGAGTGGACCAGGTGCGTTGAAGGCCCGGTGCGGGCGGACCAACCACACTGCAGACTCGATGGATATGGCTAGACTCGGAGGGTGGACCAGGTGGACTGAAGGCCCGGTGCGGCGGACCAGTCACATAGTAAACCCGAAGTGCATGACTGTTCTATGTTCTGTTATGATATGGCATGTTATGTGTATGGTATATGTGGTTGGTATTTTGGGGGTATCTCACTAAGCTTTCGGGCTTACAGTTGTGGTTTAAATGTTTCAGGTATTTCAGGAGACCGTGGCAAGGCAAAGGCGTGATCGTACTGCTCCTCATGTTTATGTTTTCTGCTATGGTTGTCGGAAGACTCTGATAATAAATGTACTGAAAACCTTTTTGTAATGACTTAATGAAATTAGGTTGTTTTTGAAATGTTTAAAATTGGTTGAAATTTTTATGGACATTACAAGTTGGTATCAGAGCCTTGGTTTGAGTGAATTGAAGGAACATTCGTGTGAATCCAGTCTCAAATCAAGGAGAGTTTTCAAAATGAAAAATTAAAATGGTTTTCAAAATGAGTAAAGGAGGACACGAAGGTACGATCAGCCAGAGCCAGTAAGTAGCCCCAAAATACAATGCAAGTTATTTGTTTATGTGATATGATAGAACAACATGCTAGTACTAGGCTAGGGATCTTCAGGAATTGCATGATAGTGTTGCCTGATTTATGATGCCTGCTAGCCTAGGGTTTACTTTTGTATGAGATTTCCAATGTTCCTCTAGGAGTGAGGGTTGAGTGCTTGTTATGCCTGTTTTTCTCTAGGGTGTTGTGGTGATACTTGATATAAATATGGGTAGGCATGGAAGGTAGTATGGGCCCGTACTACTGAAAGCACAGGATCCATATGCGTATCAAGGAAATCACAACCCCTAGGGCTAGGTTGAGAGTCGGTTCCCGGGTTAGTGGGAGGTTTCTGATGTTTGCGGTGTTTTTCAGTATGGTGGTTACGAGGCATGTTGGGAGTGGATCTAGGTCAGGATCGGGAGCAGGAGAGGGCAGTCAGGGTGGATCAGCACCACCCGAGGTTATCAGTCAGATGAGCACATACGAGTTGGATGCTAGGATTCATGAGATCGTGCATGATGAGTTTGCTGCTATGTTCCGGGTCGAGTTGCCGGAACTGTTTGGGTCGATCAAGACCGCCATGGTCGAGTATTTTGATGAGCGCTATGCAGCTCTTACAGAGATGACTGCCACAGCAGCTACAACGACAGGGGGAGGAGCCGGTAGAGGT